CAAGAGAAAAACAGATCACAATACAGTGCTTATAAAAAGTATTCAAACCCCTTGGAAGGTTTGTCCTTTTTTTACTTTTCAGCATTGAACCATGGCAAATTAAATTTTGGGTTTTGGACAAAAATTTGCACAAAAATATTATTCCATGTCAAAGTGAAAACAAATTTCTACTAATAATGTCAATTAAGTAAAGGTACAAAACGTGCAATCAGTGACTGCGTAAGCATTTGTCTCCTTTAGGTCAGTATTTAGTAGATACATCTCCTTCAGAGCAGTCACAGGTGTCTTGGTGGCCTCGCTCACTGGTCTGTTTGTTGCAGTGTCTCAAAGCAGTTTACAAACGTGCCATATTCCTTCCATTTCTTAATGATGGCTTTAGCTGTATTCTAAACGATATTCAAGGATGTGGACATTTTCTGGACTTATCCTCTCACTTGTGCTTTTCAGCCACATTTAACAGAGTTACTACAATCAATTGAAACACATTCACTCAGATGATCTCCCAGTCCCCAGATGTATCGAACTGAGAGACACTACTTTGCACAGTAAAACCAGATAATTAAACAATTCAACAGTTTGACATTCTGCTCTTTTTTTTTTTTTCTTCTTTTTTGTGTGTGGACATTTTCCATACAGTTAAATTCAGGTGATAATTCCACACCTTTTCTCCACAACTTGATTTTTTGTAGCTCTGTGCTCTGTGCTTTGTCAATTCAGCCAGTTGTGTTTGTTGTGCTGAGCACGCTCTGTTTTATCACGTTGTATAGCTGAATCCTGTTGAAGAGGTATCATCCTGTCTGAATAACACATACAAGAAAAAAAAAAGGCTTTGATAAGCTTGCACGTAGCTAAGTTTTCTTGGCTGGTTTTTATTTGTAAAAAGAAATGTGTTATTGGGTCTTTCAGAAATGACAGATTTACTTTACACACATGCATAATGTTTGCATTAAACCATCTCTTGCTCCTTAGTTACATATTTTTTTAAGCCTATAACCCATTAAAAACTGTGTATTTTAGAAATGATGCTGTGATACAAACTTATTTTCTTCTAGTTGTCCCACTTCAGCAAATCCCTAACTGAGCGTGTGCCTCAATTTAGACAACCTATGATTAAGTATAATCAAAGCAATTGGAATGTCAGGTTCATTGTTAATTAAATATCAATCATTTTAATTAAATCAGTCCCTGATCACTGAGGCAGGCTATTGGGCCTGAATTGAATAAGCAAAGTGGGAAAGGGCAATTCAATCTTAATGGCTTAATTTTCTGGAGGCCAATGGAGATCCGGTGTTTATTGCGAGGAAACGGTGTCTGCTTTTGGCCATAAATTATGAGGCTTAATGTCAACGACAATAAAGTAGTGCTTGTATAAAGCCCCTCCTCTTACTTACACCCCCTCCTTTTGACAATTATGCTCTTGTTCAGCATGTTCAGCCAGAATTACTTCCAGAAAAAAAAGGTACAGCAAATTCACTTTAATCAGAGGTTGATCGTTTAGTCTGATGATTTTAGGACAAATTTTCTTGATAGGAGGGCCATGAAAAGAGTTGAATGTAACAACGCTTGGTGTTAAAAATGCATAAATGACAAGGAGATGGTTTTATTTATTCATTTTTATCACTAAGACATGTTGTGCAATTTGTACAAAAACTATAGATGTGTGACAAATTAAAGGAAACAAGTTTTAAGTTTTTTTTGTACCTCTACTGAACAGCTTAAACACCATTCTTCCAAAAGATTTACCTTCATTTGGTGTTTTGATGATGGTGGTAGAGAGCACTCTCTTTCCATCCATCCATCCATCCATCCATTATCTATACACCACTTAATCCTCAATAGGGTCATGGGGGGCTGGAGTCTATCCCAGCTGACTTAGGGTGAAGGCAGGGGACACCCTGGACAGGTCACCAGTCTATCACAGGGCTACACTTAGAGACAGACAACCAAGCACACTCACATTCACACCTACAGACAATTTAGAATCACCAATTAACTTTAACATGTTTTTGGACCTTTTTGGCTATGATTAGAACAAGCTTTATTTGACAACGGTCTAAGTGTATCTGGTACTGAAAGGTAATATTTAAAACTGCTCTGTAAAGCACACCACAGCACTTTAATGTAGAACAAATAGCAGATGCAAACACTAATGAAAAAGTAACGTGCTGTGGATCTATTTATTCTCTCAAACTGTCTTCTACAAAGATTTTATCCCAGTCAGTTTTGTATATAGTCTTTTTAATAGCAGCAACAATCCAGGTCACATTCTAGTTTCATATATAGGGTTAAGTTCAAAGCTTCTGTTTCTTCTCTTTGAGAGAAAAATAATAAATTCAAGGCCAAATGGTTGCTGGTTTGACCCAAGACAGAGAATCTGCACACAGAGAGAATGAAACACAACTGATCTTCCCTCCATAGCTGCAGTACTGATGATTAATTCATTGTTAGCAGTTAAAAACAGTGCCACTGTTTAGTGGGTCCCACTTACCGCATGTGACAGTGGCGATGAAGGCTGTCTGTCAGTGCAGCTTTTAATAAATACCAAAAGTTAAATGAAATAACATTTGTAAAGGTGTTTCCATTGTTGTGTTAGTGTTGAGCTGGTTTAGTATCACTTCATGTTTTATAGACGCATTTTCTATCTTAATCATGGGATCATTCACAATGTGAGCGTCACTGGTGTAGAATACAGTATCTGTGTGCCACAGGCAGTTTTTGTCTCATATGAGACTGTATGAGACTCCCCCTGTGGATAATGAGCATATACATGTAGAAGAACATCCTTTATGTGACAGCTTGTTTGCATGTCTGTATGTGTGTGTGAGCATTTATTCATGGTTCTCTGTTTTCATGTGTGTGTGACGGCGAGGATGCGTGTTGACAATGTGTCTGCCGACACACATTTTGTGTGTGTCTGTGTGTACACTGCTGTGTTCCAGCTGTCTGAGTGGATAAGGCTCAGTGGGCGGATAAACACTGCAGTGAATGTCATACACACACACACACACACACACACACACACACACACACACACACACACACTCAGCATGGCATGGCTGTGGGGACTGTGCTATAATAGGGAGTGTCTGTGAGCACTGACTGAGAGGGGGTTTGGAAAAGCCAGAGATCACAGCTTCAGTTAGGTCGGCGATAGAACAAGACACATTATGCAACACATTGGTATTAATGAGGAATTCACTTACCTGTAGTAGAAGGATAGTGATCTAAATACTGTTTTCAGAACATATTTTTCAAAAAAAAAGATGTATTTCTCAAGACTGTTTTCCTAGTTCACGTATTATATTTTAATTTAATTACACAATATAACACATTTAACATGTGTGCGGCATGTTTTATAAAACAACAGACGACAACAATCATTGGACAAACAGCACTTTGTTGTTTTGTGTCCTGCTACAATGAACCGTGGCTTTTCTTTGCTTAACAAACGGTTGTGCTGCCTTTCTGAGCACTAAAACAAAATTATTAATTACTTTATATCATAACTTCTATAATTTATTTTCTTAATCTGCAAAAATGAACCCCAATAACAACATTTTCAGATATTTTTTTCATAAGTCTTGAATTAAAAACGATAAATCTCAGTACCTGCAGATCCTAAAGAGCCGTGGGGAAGAGTGTAAATGATGAGACAGGAAAACTCACAAAATGCTTCCAGCCGCCCAGTTCAATAAAATATCACAAGCTCATGACACAAACTTTCCTCTGAAAGCTGACTGGGTAGTGATCACACATAACTTCCTCTACTCTGGTCATCATGGAACATTTTCCAATACAGAAGATGATATACACATGAAACGGACTTTAACGTGGACGAGTTCATTAAACTCATTAACATTTCACCTCATTTTAATTCTTTCTGCCCTAGCCACAAGACTTGAACTCCAATAAATACACTTTTAGTAACATAACAGTAAGATATAACAAGTGTCAAGGTTTCTAATAACCCAAATGCAGCTGTGGTAGCAAACTTGGCAAATGTGGATACAAAACTGTAAGATGTGAGACAGATGACTCAGTAAATCTACTGTAGGTATGTTAACAAAACAATGAACACTAAGGGGACCCCAATCTGTCTGTAGAGAAATCATTTCAACACCCACACTTGAAGTTTAGTCAACTTTTGGGTAGTTAAACATAACTGTATGCAATCCTCTCGCCTGTCGTTTTTTGTTTTTTTTTTACTATCCTGGTGGTTTATGGCTCGCATTAAGAGTGCGAGAACAGCGCAGACACTCTCACTTGAAAGTCCTCCATCAACTCACAACCCCGGCACGCTCCGAGTTCTGATTATCATAACACTTTCTAGCTGAGTGTCATGCAGACAAAGAACAACTCTTGAGTCCTTCACATCCCAAATCCAAACCATTTCAGGAAGCATCAGTGCAGACCGTTAATGGTGCTCTGTCGAGTTTTGGAATTTAGTAGTGCTACGAGTTATCACTGTTTTGTTCTGTTTGTGTTGTGACATGATTTGCAGCCTGACCAGCTGTGCTGATGTACAGTTGGTCATAATGCATCGAGCAACGCAGCAATGCACAAGTAAAAGGCAGTGAATAAGAAACCTCCTTGCTACATAAATGCAAACAAAGCAGGGTATTTTTTTTATAAAAACCAGCTGTGTAAGTGTTTTTTGAGGAAAAAAGTGCATTCATCACCTTTGTTAAACCTCAATGGTACAGACAGTGTGTTTTGGTGACTAAAACTGAACATAAATGCAACCTTTGTTTGATTACAAAAAAAACGCACAGGGTATCTTAACCCTATTCAGGACTTTTGGGGTCTTTTGGACCCCAGGCCATTTGGTTTAGGTGACAAGTATTATGTTTTATTTTTGAAGATGTTTTTTTAAATATAAAAAGAGGGACATTTGTCCTGCATTTGGAACCAAAAATACGTCAACTTATCAGAAAATTTATTTAACATAGTATAAAAGTCTATAACGAATACCAACAAATATTTTGCACATATTCTTTCTTGGGGCCCAATGGACCTCGAAAGACCTTCTACGTATGGAAACATGAAAGTCCTGAATAGGGTTAACTTCTATTGAGCTCCCTCATCGTGTGTAAGACCTCTGCCAGTTGTAAATGGCATGAATATTATGGGAACACACTGGCACCCGTTTACAAGTACTGACGCTGCGGTGGCGGAAAACCCTCCCTATTGCACCTCCGCCCAGCCCCCTCCTCCTCGCAGCAAGCTGTTTCGCTCTTTCCTCTGCATTGAAGAAGTCTGTGGTTGCCCTGAAGAATTCTAGCAGAGCTCTGTGGCTCCAGTTGGCCCCATGGTTCTGCATCCCACCGTTTGGTGCAGCTGCAGGACCGACTGCACCCAATGCACCAGCACTCTCCTCAGACTGGGTGGAAAAACCACAGTGACCTCCACGGTCAGTTAGGAGCAGAAAAAAATGTGGGTTTGTCTCAAAGAGCTCCAGGGGTATCGTGGATTGGGTGTCTCCACGGACAGGGTCATCCCGAGCGCACACGCTCAGAACAGGAATTGCTACTTCGTCCACATCTCTTAAGGGTTCGTTGCGTTCCCAGTAAGCATCCCAGGCACCTGTCGCATTGCTGCTACTGCTGCTTCCTGTAGGCGCAGCTGGTGTAGATCCCACCTGTCCAGTCTGACAGAACAACGATTCCTCCAGGCCTCGTAAAGAACAGCTAGAAAACAGGGTGTCTGTCTGCATGGTCTCACCCAGTGCTGTCCTGTACCTGTGCACACAAACACACAGACATGTACACAGGGACAAGAGGTGAGAAACAGTAAATCAATTTTGAAGAGCAGCATGGGTCTCATATTCCTTATTGGCCTTGATTTGAGAAACTTTACCTGGGTCACGGTGTCTCTCAGAATCAATGGCTTGACAATAAGCAGGCCACTGGTTGCTACAGTAACTTGATTGTTTTCCTGATTCCCTCTGTGCGCTTCCAATAAATGACTTGCAAGTGCTCACATCTGCTTGTCTTATAAGCCTCTTTTTACAATGTGTCACTTTTGGCTCACTAAACATGTGTAATCTTCTTCTTGATACGGTGCTATATATATACAACCCCCCCTGAGCAAACTTAAAGAACAGAGAGAACTGTGAAACCCTTTTGGTGTCCTAAAGTCTGCATGCTCATCTAAACTAATGCACCATGCTGCAAAAGGCAAGGATTCACATCTACAGTAGGCATGTCTACATCCAGAAATCTACTGCAGACCATTCAAATTGTAATAACTTTTCAGGCTGCCAATTGCCATTAAAGGAAAATTCCTCTTTTGTACAATGCTATTTTTGTACTTCTGGTCATTGCTCCTATTAGCAAGTACTCTAGTTAATTGCTGACATCTGGGAAGATGTCAGACAGAACAAGAAGCAGGAGAAATCACAAGATCGGGCACATTTTAACAAGCTCCCTGCTATTCAAACATCTTTCTGGTCTCACTTTAAACTAACCTTCTTGTTGTACCAGTTTTCCTGTGCAAGAAAGGATTATACTTGATATTTGAGGTACAGTCAGTGTTTGGCCTTAAAAAATTGCTGAATCTGGCCAAATGCTTGACTTATTTATAAACTGGATTTATCAATTTTTTAGGGGCACTCAATGCTTTCCTGCAAAAAGTGCTAAATCTGACCAAACTTTGTCTACACCTCTTGCTGTTTTTGCCTTTGGGTGATGTTATTTTAGTGAGTTCAGAAATGAAGGCTGAAAACAAGCCTCATAATCTAGACTTAACACTACTTTTTGGACATCACTCTGTCAACTGATTCATGTCAGCATGCACCCTCCAGGTTGTTGCCCCCTCCCTTCGTACCTGCTGAGACAAATCTTCTGGTACAGTACGAGCGCCCACTGCAGGGGCCAACACAGTCCGCTCTCGAACCAGCTCTGGCAGCGAAACACGGGTGACAGGCAGACGGCCGCCGTCACATAGCTCGATGATCCACACTCCCCCAGGTAAGACAGGAGGAGGCCCGACCCGGAGCCCTCGCTCACCGCATACAGCCTTCCTGCGGGCTGTCGGTAGCGAATGTAGCGCACGGCCTCGCGCAGATCGGCAGGGTCACCGAACTGCTGCAGTTTGAGGGTGGTGAGCGGGGTGCTGTTGTGGCTGCGGCGGTTGAAAACTGCTGGGAGGTAGCCATGGGACAGTGCCATTTCACATAACTGTAGAGAAAGAAGGCAGAAATAATACGAATTTTAAAAAAAACTGTTTCAAAAATGTGACAATGGTTAACATGAAATGTAGTTCACATATGTGCTGACATGCAGCAATGGTCTCTTACTGCCCACATGGTTGAATGAATGTGGCCGTGTCACTTGGTTGCACAGAATTAAACAATGCCCCTTTTTAGAACACAGTTTCCAGTTTGTTCCACTGAATGTCTTCACAGTTGTAACACCTGAACATGCGTGGCACTACTTTTTTATTGTACGGAAAAAGAAATAAGCAGTTTCTAGGGGAAGTGAGAGCACAGTAAAACTAAGGAATTAAGTGTTGCTCCTGTCTACTCAGCTGTTTTACTGTGCTTAAAGTGCACACAGTAATACTGCAGAATAGAGCCCCTTACATTATATGCTGCTGTATCTCTACAGTTTTACATATTTCTGATTACACCAGCATCTTTATCTTATATTTTTACACAATAGCATTCATTAACAGAAACAAACAGCTGAAGAACTTAATCTTGTGAGTTATGCATCTGTGCCGTTGCTATGTAGACTACTTTTTTATTTTTTATTTTTTTGCCTTTTGTGCCTTTATTGGACAGTGCAGTGAAGAGAGAGACAGGAAAGTGGGGGAGAAGAATGGGGGGAAGGACCTGCAGCGAAGAGCTGGACTAGAACTCACTACCACTGTGTCGGGGACTTTAGCCCCTGTACATGGGACACCAGCTCAACCAGCTATGTACACTAAATTTAAAAAAAAACATCAGTGGCAAAGCACAGTGATAGAAGCATTTTTTTTTCAATTTAAAAATGCCTACTTGCTTGTATTTTATAGGAATATTGACATATGTGAGGTTCATTCATAGTCACAGGTTGTCATGAGCCAGAGTGATGCCAACCGCCTTCAGTTTGGGAATATTGAAGTGTTCAGGGCAGTTCTCAGACCCTGTGGAGTCCTTGGTGAAGGCCCACATTATGCACAATCTCAGCTGCACGATGTCCATTCAGCCCACAGGCAGCTGCCATGTTCAGCAAACCTAAAGGCAAAAACACACCGCTGCCAAACAGTGCATTAAAACAGCAGCCCCTCTTCTTTACTATGAACACTCCTATTTCCAGCCTTGTTTCCTTGATTGCTGAGACTAGTTGTACATGTCGAGAAATATCCACAGCTGTATCACCTACAGTACTTCTATTAGAAAGGCAATGCAAAGAAAGATATTGGCTGGCGAGGCATTGCTCTGGATATTGGCTCATCAGAGAAAGATCAAGTTTAGGTTGTCGATGTCCACACGTGCAAATGCGTGCACGTTGTTGGAAACGCGATTTTCCTGACACGTTGCATCACCACGCTTCCAGCTGGTGGGGCCGTACTTGACCCACACTATATGATGCGTTGTTGTGCTGTGGTAGCGCTGTGTTCTCAGCTAAAGCCTGCACTATGTAGCTGTTGTTGAACCAGGCTGGGAGCAGAATTGGCACAGGAGAGCTGAGAGGGCTTGAGTCTATAAACCTGTAAGTTCACGTCACTGGCAGGAAGTCAGTGCACTTTAGAGAAAAATATCACAACTCACTGTGTTTTCTAAAGAGCTATTATTGTTTACTTTGATATGAATGTGACACTATGGGGACTTTGGGTTGTGGAGTCATTAGTGTTGAATAACCGCATCTAAGAAATGTGAGACAACTGCATAAAAAGTACTGATTTTCCATATTTTGTTAAACAAATTAATATGGCAAAATCTTTTTGATCACTGTAAATTAAACAAAATAATTCTTATTTTAATTGTATTCAGCACATATAATGATTTTTACTATAGTTTAGTTGCTGTGGAATGCATAGGAGAACAACATATTCTTAGATTTTATGAATCCCTGTGTGGAAAACATTACAGTCTAGTAGTAGTAAGGCAGGTATCACTGGATATGTGTCCTTCAAATGTGTAAAATGATCCTTCGATCACCAAAGAGGTTTCTTATCTTTGAAACGAGACGGAAGTGCGCATGTTTTATCTTCGTTTTTTGTGGCTTTTAGGGCTTTCAAGGAGGTGAGCATCTAAAGGCTCTGCTGGTGTTTCTGTGTTCTCTACAGGAAACTACCTTTACCAGTCTCATGTCTTCTTGTGTCTGTAAGATCATCTGATAATACGAAAGGCAGTAACATAAATAATAAGTAATATCATAATTTCCAAATAGCTGACAAATAAATGAAACACAGTGAAACAGTGAACCTCAACCTCCACTCACAACTACACAAGCTGTGAAAAATCTTCTACAACTCAGCTCTAGAAAGACTGCAAAGTTTGGACTCAGAGCAGAACAGAAATGACAAGAAAATGTATAAATTACATTGAGAGCTCTCCCTGCAGAGAGGGAATGAAAATGAGAGATTGCCCCAGTTCTGAATATTACCATTAGAATAAATTACCCATATTACACTGTCTGGAAACACAAGGAGAAGATTTGTCTTCCCTCGAAATCTGCACTGTCACAAATGCTTCATCTTCACACACAAGAAGCAGAAAAAGAGGGCACCAATAGTCCTGTCATTAAAAAAGGTTTGTGTCGATATAGCTACAGCAGAGTTGTGATATATCCAGCGCAAGTACATTGTCGAATTTGAAATGAGTTACATTTTGCTTTGAACCTGAAAAAATCCCACTGGAATGGAGAAAGAGCGGCAGAATCACTGCATTAAATATTTACCAACTGAGAAAGACTGCAGTAGCATGTTTGCCCCTTTCTGGTTGTCCGTATGAATAGAGGATATACGAGAGGATATAGCGCTGAGCTAATATACTGAAACAGCATTCATTTATTCATTCATTAGCCTCTTCCTCAAACGTTTTGAATCATTGTGATTCATGAGGAGCACAGGAGAGGGAGGGACATTTTCATGAGTATGAATCACCACAGAGTTCAGTTGAATTCCCAAAGATATTGAGATGAATTATTAGATTTTTTTTTTACAGTTGCATATGAGAGCTGGGGCTGAGATTCAATTAGGTGATCGGGTGATTCATGCTTATGCTTCCTTGCTCAGTATTATTACAGTCACTGTAAAACACCATCAGATGGAGGAGTGATGAGCAAAAAAGGCTCAGAATTGAATCCCAAAAATGTAAAGAGGAAAATTATGCTAGCAGTGGTATAATTGTTCCTTGGTCATCAAGAACTGATTAAATCCAAAGATACTGCAAAGCTTATTTTATATAATTTGTCAGCAAAATATACTTTTTGTTTGGATAAAAGACAATTAGTCATTTTTTACAATCAAATATAAAGCTTACAGGAAACACTGCCATTTCCATTGGGAGATTTTTTTGTCATTGTTTTTTTTTGGAAAACAAACAAACAAACAAAACAATCCAGTAATTTGACCTTTGCTCTAGATCGATTTTGCATATACAAATTTTGTGGCGACGTATTATGTTGACAGCATGCATTTGGTTTTGTTAGAGCTGTCAGTTTAATTGCAGAAACAGTAAAAACGAACAGCAGTCACGCCAGCAGTTTTCTGCCAGAGCTGATAAAGTGTCAGCTCAGTGATAGATTCCTTCAGCAGGGTTGGCGTACGCTGGACAACACCCTCTGTACTCGCACAACAACAAATACTTTAATACCAGAGGGCTCCTCAAATTCAAAAATTATTTCTGCGGGACCGCTTATAGTGGTAGCATTCAGGGGCTTCATTTGGAAATGTTGCCACAAATCAAGTTCAGTTAAGGATGTTAATTGATTAAAAGCCTTTTAGAGGCAACAAAGCTTCTCACTTCAAAGCGCTGCTCTCTATTCAGGGTCAATAACTTGCCTAAACACTCTTCAACCGGCCTGTGATGCATTCAGGGCATGAATGATCCTTCTACAAACAAGTAACTGTACGTTGAATGATTTGATGTTTAAAAACAATATGTAACATGCTGCTCTGGTTCTGTGCCTGCTCCTGTGGAGCTCTGATAATAAGTTCAGTGCTCTGCTGATGAACTGAGCAAGAAAACTGCACTCCAGTCAACAATAAAGACCAAAACTACATGTCATTCACTTGTTATGTAATAAATCTCATGGTTGCCATCTTCATACAGTTAATTGGTTGGCAGCTTTCAGACCAACTATTTGTATGTCCCCCAAATATAGCGAGCTAAACAAAGCGAAGACTTCTGCTTTAATCTTTCGGATTACAGCAGACAAAAAGCCGACAGAAAACCTGTGTTTTCGCCTCCCATTCAGCATGCAAGAGTGGTGATGCCGCAGTGTTGTAAAGTCTTACAAAGGCTGACAAAAACATGGACTTCTCCAAACAGTTGGATTCTTTTGGTTCACTTTCAGAGTGTTGAGCATCACAGACAAACATTCAAAGGGGAGAATATCTATGAATAATTTAATGTAAGGCAACAGTGGCAAATATCAAGAACTGAAATGCAACCATTTTTTGAGGTAGATCCTGTTTCACAAGTTTCCCTAAAATGGATTTTGACCAGGGGGGCTTGTTGCATTGGTCTTAAAACACAATAAAGGATTTTCTGTTCATATTCTTCGGTGAATTAACATCTTTTACTGTGTTGTTTAGTAAAATGTCATTCTAGCAAAGAAAAAACAGCATCTCTCCTGGTGTGGTTGTGGTGTAGATTGCTTATTCCTATGAAAAATTACATTCCTATGCAACTGGACTGAATTCCCCACAGGAAAAGTACTTCCTCTCTAAAAGGGTAAGACGATGACATTGTAGAAAATGCTTCCAGTTTCACAGAGACCACATTGGGTGGAAGGACGAGTTGGCAACTAGTCTGACTCACTAAAAGTAGACTGGGGGCATAAGCCTGTCATCAGCGGCTCATTTCAGACTCCTTTCTCCTCTTCTTATGCTATCTGCATTTTATCGTTTTCAAAATCCATCTCAATCCAGAAAAATGCTAAAAATTTCAAGTTTTGCAAATAATTTCTATCATGCAGTCAGACAGCCACTCTAGTTTTCAGCGATTTTTTTTCCTTTTAATGACAGTGCTCACCAAAACAATTGCACTCGTCACTATTTTGTGGGAACATCGAAGCTACATCCTTCGTTTATCCCCATCCACACAGAGGGTGATTGGTTTAAAGAAATACAAGCAAGCCAAAGCCTTCGTCTCTGATAGTACAATGATCCTGTGATACAACCAGACTCTTATGCTCTACAGCAGCGGTCCCAAACCACTGGCCCCCGGACCATTACCAGGCCGTGGGTCATTTGGTACTGGGCCGCACAGAAAGAAGAAAAAGTTTTATTGGTTTAGGGTGTTTTAGATTGAAAAACGTCATCGCTCATCTTTCCGTCACTTGCGCTTGTTTCCTGCACTTAACTCTGTCAGTTTTCATGCTTATAGGGAGCCGTCAGTCTAACCGCTGCCGAAATGAATAAAAAACAAATGTCTCTGAAGAGCTTCTTTTAAAAGCGGCAGAGACTCGACACTGAGACACAGGAAAAAGCAAATTTGCAATAAAAAATAATTTTATTTGTTTATGACACCTTTTTCAAAGAAAAAACAATTATTATTTGTCATGTGCGCATTGTCCGGTCCGTAGAAAATTGTCTTGCTTGAAACTGGTCTGTGGTGCAAAAAACGTTGGTGACTGTTATTCTACAGGAGGCTAGTCCGCAACTAGTCTGACTCACTGGATATAGATTGTGGGTACAAGCCGTCTGCTTGACATTTTTTTTCCTCTTTGCTATCTACTTGCTAATGCTTGCAAAATCCCTCCACTGTCACTGCATGCTGGTTTTATATCTGCCGAAATGTGATTGGTTTGAAAAATCCAGCAAACCAGAGCAGTTTTTTCCCATTTAGCAGAATGATAATGAGGTGCAGCCAGACCATTCTACGTAGCATGATGTCAACACTAGAGGTCTGCCTAAGCTAGATTTTTCTGCAACAGGACTTTCCCCCAGGAGGCTGGGGTTCATGTGGGACAATTATTCCTAGACTCAAACTTCATTTTTACCTGTTGTTTACTTACGTTTTCACTTGCTTTTTAGTTAGGTTCAGACACTGAATCCACGTGAGTTTAAAAAAAAAAAAAAAAGAATTCAGCATGATTTGGGTAAAAATATGACCCTATCACAACATGTTTGAAGCCTGCCCTCCATTTTGAATGCAGGTTGGTTGTATAAGAATATAATTTTCAGGAGATAGGGCTGCACATTCCGAGTAAGTAGGACAAGGCCCTGATTTTGGTAAAAGTGTGTGTGTGTGTGTGTGTGTGTGTGAGAGAGAGAGAGAGAGAGAGAGAGAGAGGCTATTTGCATTTTTCCTGAATGTCTGGGGAAAATTTCTTCTGTATCTCCTGTGTCCAATCCCCACAGTTTTTGAATGGTGCTGCAGTATAATTATGGGCTACATTTTCAACACTCTTCGCCCAATATGTATGTAAACATCTTCAAACCAAAGATGAAAATCAGGTCTTTGCGCACACAGTTCCATTTTAAAACTACAAGTCAAGTGCAAAAATGTTGTGTCTCTCTTCATACTCAAAACCTTGCTCTTTGTGAATTGTGAGGCCATAATGTGTCAACACCAAACGGTAAAATTTGGGATGAGGGTGTGGAAAGCACAGATCTTAAGTCCTTTTTGCTTGATCATAAGCGTTGCAATGAGTCATATGCCTTGTCTGCTACTTATATTTATGATAAATACGTTTCCAAGCCTGGAAATACTGAGGTTTTTCTGCCACTACAACATCCCTCATTGATATAATCAGAACGGCTAATGGTCAAATTTTCCCACTTTTACAGTACGAGTGCTGAGCTATTATTCCATCCCACGAGGCGTTTGTAAAATCTGAGCAGTCAGACAGAAAAAGGAACTGTCTGAAAAACAATTATTTAAGTGCTGAAGGGTAAATTACACATAATGACCGCATTATATCATACCCCACATATTTAAGGAATGAAAAATAGGTGTTTCTTCAGCACCACTGAACAAAACACTGAACTCGGTGTAACTAGGTCGCGAAATTATGGTTAACCTGCTCACAAATCTATCATCTCTGTGAGGAAAATGTGATTTGTGTTAATCACATGAGGCAAGACGGCTGCAACAGCTGGATGTCTCCTTACAGGAATATTTATGGCTTTTGAAAATATAGCTCTAAAAAAATGAATACGGGGTCATTGCCAAATGTCTTTACACACCTTCATTATATTAAAAAAAAGCCTCTCTGTGTGACCTCTTTGAAATTGGGGATAAAAATTGAATAAAAATTGTGTTTGATGATGGCTGAGATGAGGAGATATACAGTAATTAGGTTGAGGAGAAGTAGCTGTCTATGTAGGGTTTGACATGTTGGAAAAAAGATGTTCCTTGTTTTTTTCTTGCCAAAAGTAATGAGAAGGTTTATGGCCTCAAATACAAAGCTACTGCAGCAGCTGGTTAGCTTAGCTTAGCACAAAAACCAAGACACTGATTTTACAAGGGGTGTGTGTGCCAGGATATTTCTTTGCCAAGCAGAGTAAGTAAACATGTCACTGCTCCAAGCCAAGAAGTAAACCCCAATACACCATTTTTTGCATTACAGTCTTGGAACAGCTTTTTAAAAACAAGATCCTTGTTAGTAAGTAAGTGGATTTTCTAACCTTTATTACACTGGGTTTATCTGCCACCATCCAGTCTACCTTAACCATATTACTTCTCTATTCCAATACATCAGTTTTCCTTTGTTAATAATGATTCTTCGCTTTTATGGCTCATGTTCAATGTTTCATTGTTTCAAGTATTGCCTTCTTGCTTTTTCTTGATTAAAACCGATTTATATGTACCTTTCTTTGCTGCAACTTCATAACTACCACACAGGTATGAAAGTGCTATCAATCATCTCATCAAAACACATTTCCATAAATGCTGACGTACTGCTTTAAGAGCAATAAAAAAAAAAACTGCAAGCTTATAAATATTTAATGGTGAGATGAAATAAAAGCAGGAAAAAAAACAAGAAAAAGAGAACTGACAGACTGAAAAAAAGCACTGAAATTATGAATGAATATAAGGATTTTTTAAGAACTCTGACCTCAATATGATGCTTTTGAACAGACTGTATATACCACACATGTGAATGGATATCTACCCTGCCAGACTGAGTGACACAAAGGAGCACAAGACAAAACTGAGAGTAAAAATATGAATAATTTAAGAGAAGGAGGCTCATTCATAAATTCATACATTCCTGAAATGGGCTCTGCTACGGAGACGGCGACAGGGACCACAAGCCCACAGACTCCGAAAAGAATCTCCATCTTTCTCTCTGTTTCTTCTCTGTGTCACAGATACAGATACTGTGTGTATGCCCACGCAAACACGAGCTCTTTTTATCTCTCATGCACACACTGTAACTGGTTTATGCATACTGAGCCTCACCAGTGACAGAAGCAATCTTAATTGGTGTACATCCCTTGTGGTGCCTCAGCTTCCAGCCCTCCCAAGCGTAACCGGCTGACAGCATCACAAATACTCTATTCTGATGGTTGCTATAAAAAAAACAAAAAAAAAACACGACACACAGATCTGTCTGAATCTGACAGTTACCTTTCTTTTCTCCATCATTTTGCTTTTCCCCCCTTGGTATAGCTCTAAGCCACTATATACGTGTAATGTTTCAAAACTCACTCTTCTTCCCATTTCCTCTCCTCTGTCATCCTCTGTCCTCGAAGAAGAAGTCGTTCACTCTAGTTCAATGTCAAACACATTTGATTTCGTTTGAGTATTCTTGCAGAGATGTTACTTTTGACACGGGGCTGACAGTAAGTCTGTGACGGATTTGCACACAGAGCTAACAGTATGAAATGAAGCATGATGCCAGGTGCCCAGAATGGTGAAAGAGCCAACAGGCATTCATGCGGAGCGGCGCTGCACTTCCCTGGGCTTCACAAGTCAAGCGATGCTTTGTAATCCCTCACTCAATTACCTCAATCAGTGTATTGAAAGCGCAGTTGAAAGACTGGTACTGCCTCTGCATCTGCTCTTTTTTTTTTTCCTTTTGACTGAGCTTGCCATGGCTGAAGTTCAAGTGACTGCCTTTGCCCAAATGGCCATTGTTGATTTGCACTGGCATCTTCCTACATCAGCTTTAAATTACTGAAGCACTTCTCTTGTGATTAGTTAGAATACTTTGTGCAAGCATTTGTCTATGCAAGTATTAAATGTATATCTTGTATATCTCTGGTTTCCAGTCTCTGAGTTTGATTTGCACTGTTCCTGTTTGTTATTATGGATTTCTGTTTCAGCACTAAATAAGACTGAATACGCTTCCATGTAGCTGATGCAATTTTCATCAGGTGGTAACACATAGAGGCAGAGCAGCTACAAAGTTCATGGCACAGCTTAAGATGCATCAGTTGAGGGCATCCTGACCTTTGCTTGAGAAATGAATACAAAGTTCTGCAAATTTGCAAGGATTCAAAGGCAATTTGATGCTTCAAGTGTGTAAAGACAGAATGGAAAGTAATATATTAACCTTTTAAAGCTTTTAAAGTTTGTGGAATATTTGTATGTTTGGTATTATTAACAATGAAGTACCATCTTTTATTCAACTGTATGAAATGTATTATCTGCTGCAGTTTCTTTATAATTAATTATTCGTTATTTGTCTGTTTGCACACCTTTGTCTCTGATTTTCTAGGGTAAAGTCTGCAAGAGAGGCCAAAAACGCACAGATTACCTTCAACACATTTCTGGTGATCTTCCCAAAAGAGTTTGGGATGATGAGAAGAACCGGGCTGGTGGAATGACTAGAAGTCCTGCGGCGTTTCTGGTAGGATGGCACTGCCCAGTCCAAGGCCACCAGCCCGTCATCGCTCAGCTGCAGGTTGTCCCGGACAAACTGGACCGGACTCTCGTACGGCCAGCACGCTTCGTACACGCTCTGGAGGAAGGCGCTGGCCCGCCACGTCCAGCCGACACACGGGGAGTAATTACTGAAAGTCCGGCAGTGTTTCAGGAGGTAGTTGGCCAGCGCGGACGGTTTGCATATGAGCGCCACGGTGCGTGTTTTCTCCCCGGTCACAGCTCCCACACAGGCCAGCTGCCCACCGTCGCTCCCCTCTCGGTCCGAGACGCACCTCCCGCTCTTGTCTTTCGCTACCTGCTGTGAAATCCCCAGTCCTTGAAGCAGAGCATCTTGCTGGCGCTCGGCACCAAAATATTTGTAGCCTGGCCAGATTAAGACCACCAGGATCACAATGCACAGAGCCACAAGCCATTCCAGCATTGGCACGGTTGAGGGGGGAGCAAAACGAGCACAACACGAACACTTTCTACACCTTATTCCGGAGTTGAAGTTGAAAATTGCACATTTACATTCGGGGAGCTAGTCCGTGGAAACATACTCAGTCCTTATACTTTGCTAGTTTTTGTCTAAATTGATGCTCAGCTCGTCAGTGGAGTTTGGCGCTTCCCTCCGGTGCCAAAGCGCACCAGTCCCTGGTCATTGTAGGCGTGCGGTCTCCGTTACGCAGCGTTTCTGTCATTCCAGCTAGCTCCAAGTCCGAGTTTTCACCTCTGTGAGTATTTTATGATAAACGAGATGATTCCGTTCACGTTTCGTGCATTCAGTGGTAGCTCAACAGGACTGCGCTCGATCGGTATTTCATCCAACAGCTGGGAGCGCGAGAAATGTCTGAGAGCGACGCGCAGCAAACGCTGGAAACGCCTCCCATCATGTCCAACCCCCCTCCGAGTGAGCAGGTACTCGGCACACTTGATGATCTCTTATTAGCTTTCCCATTAAATTACTTCCAGTAACCTAGAGCAAGGAGGTCACCTGAAGCCTGAGTACACGAAGACCGTCTTTTCAGCCCTCTTAAGGAAAAAAGAGGAAAAGAGTAAGGAGATACTCCCGCCCCCTTGGTCTTTATGCCACTCACACACACGCACACGCACGTAGTAGACAGACAGAGCTGCCACTAGAAGTGTGGTCATTATCAGATACAAGTGGATTCCTTCTGAATGGATTTGGCACCATGTGCACACTGCGACCTTGCACTCAGACAAAGAGAGAGGACAAAAAATGAATAAAGCCTGATGTGTAAATAGCTACCCACTACTTAACCCACCACATGAAGGAGACCACGTACAGTAATGTAACCTGTTGAGCAGGTTTCTGTTATGCAACAGTTCAGTCAGTTACTTTTAGAAAGTAGACCAATGTTCTTTGGAAATGCAGATTCTGATGCAGAGTGCAGTGCTGCAGACATCCAGCTTGATCATGACTTAATAAAAATTTGTGTAATGTGATAACCTCCTCTCTGCTGTTTTTGTTTCCCCTGTGAAATTTCAAACAGATAAAAAAAAATCTCCAGCAGTTTAAATGGGCTAGTAATCAATTGCTGAGGCAAAGAACAAGGAAAACAAAAGATTTTAGATCAGTACCTACAAAGGATTTTGAGCACAATGCTAAAGTAACATTTTCCTCATGTGAAATTCTATTATTGGAAAACTTCACTTTCTGAGGCACAGCAATTCATCAGGCGTTAAACCCAGAGTTGTTATTTGACACAACTGAAATATCGACACCAGCATTCAGGGGAACTCACTGTGTTTCCTTTTTCATGGCCAGAAACAACTCATACAACCGTTCCAAAGAGGAAGATTTAGTTATTATTTCTTCTTTTTCTTATTAATTTGAATGTGAAGAACAAAAATGAAAAAACAGATTAACAGTAACTGCTGCTGCCTGCTGTTAATACCATGGAAGGTGAGGCTGGTCCGTCTGTTTTGTTTTATGGCAGCTGTTACCAACAAAGGTGTTCTTATGAGTTAAAGTGAGTGATTGTGACGGTAAGAACATCATGCATGCAGGTACCTTTATTAAAGTGAATCAGTGATGAGTCACCCTCACCGATTCTAGTCACTCCATGTGATTAAGGCACAGAAAAAGTAGAAATGCTTCGCCAAAACTTTCCACTGTCAATGTTTTAGAGACACACCCCCCCCCCAACATTTCACAAATCATGTTTTCAGGGGAGCTCATGTGTTATTAGGAGGAGTCAAACTCTTAATAACAAGCTTTGCCACGAATGCACCAGTCTCTATAAATTGGTGAGGTGGCCCTTCCTTCACCACTGGTTTCATTTCGTTTACAAGTCAATTCTCGGCAAGACACCTCCCTACCTGTCCTCTCTTCTTGCCCATAATTCTTCTCGTACTAGGTCTAGTGAATACATCAAGCTCATCATCCCCAATACTTCTGCTGTTTTTGGCCGTAACTCTTTTCGCTTTGCAGCAGCTAACGACTGGAGCACCTAACAAAACACCCTCAGACTTGCAACTCTGACTCCACTCACCACACACACTTCCTTACACCTCATGCACATCTTTTTTTCACTCACATGCATATGCCCCCATGCTTGCTACTTGTTCACTTTTGTTCTGTGTTACTCATCTATTTGTGTGTGTCTATTTGTGTCTGTAATTTGCATGAGTATTTGTTCCTGCTGGCACCTCTTGGCCAGGTCGTGTTTGCAAATGAGATCTGGTTCTCAAACATATTTACCTGGTAAAATAAAGGTAAATAAAATAAATAAAATAAAAGCTCACCATGCTCCCCCATGGTTCATACACCGATTTTACATCTTAATCACTCACAAACAGAATTAAGTGCTATTACCTGTGTACGGTTGATAGATTTCGTAGAAACCTGTGGCTTTCCATTTAATTTTGAAGAACATTTTGTTTTGAACCTCTATTTCGCCGACGACAGCACAACACAGTGCAGCGTCCTGGACATAAATTGATGGCAGTATGGATGCACACCGTAGTGTGAGCAAGCGAGAGGAAACAAAACCAAACGGAAACTGACTAGACAGTAGATCATTGTGTATTTGCTCCAGTTTCGGGGTACATGATATCAATGGAAAAATGATAACAAATGGCAGACGCCAAACCAATGAGCAAAGAATAAAGACAAACAAGTGCCTGGAAGGATCCCGGTGTCACCTCAGAGACACTTTGAATGCCAGTGCAGAACAGCTTACAGCTGGTGCACTGAAGAGCTGGGAGGAGGAAGTTTCTATTTTGCAAATGTATGCAGTAAACACTGATCATGAAACTCTCCACATTTGTACAGCACAAGCGTTTGGCACTTTAGATGATTAGATTCGTACCCATTTTTGCAGTGCCATTAGGGAATCCTTTATCAGATGGTTGCACCCATTATGGATTGAATGACAATCCTGAATTACCTGAAGAGACAGAAGGAACAGAGACAACGAGGCCAAAGAACACAACTGTGCACAAGTGCACCTAGGAGAATTAATGAAGTATGATCCCATAACACAATGATTTGATTGAGTTTTTTCTATTTCATGCACTTTCCATTATGTTACCTGATAAATGAGAACCATTCGTGGAAATATTTTTGAAATCATCTTCACATATTTTGTCTAAAACCTTGGAACATTATTGTAGTGGATGATAGTCTCAGCTGGTGCAGCCATGAAGGAAGATAATATTTCACTATGTAATCATAGCGGCACTGAAGTGGTCTAAAAACAGTTCAGTCATTATATTTAATTAGATTTTTGTAATTTAATTCTTATGCATCTAACGTTTGGTCACTGTTTTTCAAGCATTAAAAGGCCTTTTCTTTCACTAGAAGGTACTTCAAGTTTATCAATAGTTTGTGTTATTCTTGCATAATAGTTTGCTATTTTTTGTGGCTTGAAACATTTGGTGAAGTCGTCTCTTATATAGCTGTTATGGTCATATTTTTGAGAGTTAATAAATGAGAACTCAGGCCACTACAGTTTATCCAGAACTAAATGAGGCTGAAGATTTTCTGATAAACACATAACTTGTGGGTTTGCCAGTGGAGGATCAATTGTTCTCTTTATAACACCTTGATGTTACATTCTGCATGATGTATAAATGTGAACTCAATATTGTGTCTCCTTCAGACACCATCATTTGGTATAACTAAACTTGCTTTACTAAAGTAAGATAAATTGTGTGGCTTACGGTGCACAGTTAGATGTACCATCCTATTGATTTAAGTTGTCATGGCTATGTTGGATTCTTTTGGAATCACTGGTTATTTCAGAGGCTCAGTGGTTAGCACCGTCACCTCGCAGCTAGAAAATCCTCAGTTAGCGTCCTGCTTGGGACGCCCAGGATCTTTCTGTGTGGAGTTTGCACGTTGTCCACGGGTCCCTGGGTTCTCTCCGGCTTCTCCAGCTTCCTCCCACAGTCCAAAAAAATGTTGAGCGAATGTTGGTGAATGTGAGTGTGTTTGGTTGTCTGTCTCTAAGTGTAGCCCTGTGATAGACTGGTGACCTGTCCAGGGTGTCCCCTGCCTTCACCCTGGGATGGCTGGGACTGCAGCCCTAGTGAGGATTAAATGGATATTGGATGGATGCATGGTTATTTTATTTGCAATGTACATTAACCTTTGTGTAAAAGTCATTTTTGTGCACATTTTCACCCTGCCTAGAAATGAAAAAGAACATTTGAGGACCAGTAAATGAGACAACCATGTGAGATAATATTGAAGTCATGCAGATGCAGCCAATAATTCCAAAAAGGTCACAGGAGACAAAGAAACATGTGGACTGCAATAATCAGTTTTACATTGATAAGAGGAAATGAGGAGGAAAAAGATCGACAAATCAACTTGAACTTCTAGATCACAGAAATGACTAGATTAGATAAGGTTTGGACGGATGTTATGTCTCGGGACGGCCCAGTCAAAGGCTTCTGTCTCTGGTAAATGTCACAAAGGTTGTGTCAAAACAAACAACCAAAGCTGCAGTGATGTTGAAGACCTTGACCCTTATCTTTAGGTTTACATACAACTGACAAAGGCACAGAAGGAGTTGTCTTTCAGGGGAAATAATTGGTGGAGACGATAAGGGCCGAGGATCCTGGTCACTCAATACATTTACTGGGGCAGGAGTGAATTCATATTTCAGCTAAATTGAAAGTAAAAGTTGTAGTGGTGAAGTAAGTGGTGCATGCCAATTCTTCAGTATTTGGCATCATCAAGCCAAATTAGACTCATCTAACCACCAGTGAGAGAGGAGACAAGAAGATACAAACACCACTCTAGGGTGGGGATTCTTTGTCTTGGTTTTATTAAACTGTTCCTTTGGTGCAAGAAAGGTGAGAAGTGTCAAACCCTGTCACTGAATCTAGATGGCAAATATACAAACTCGGACACAAACAGACACACTCATGCACACACACACACTGGATCCGCAATCAAACATTGTGCTTTGCAGGATCTGGAGTCTTTCCCCAGGAGTGCTGACAGAATAGGAAAAGAACTGGGCCAAAATGAAGACGTAGCCTAGAGGTTGCATTTTTTCTCACTAAATGAAATCTCCTGGCAGAGATTGTGCTGACGTTTATCTTCACTGTGGAGCACTATGTACAATCAGCATAAAGAAGTAAATACTGCAATAGAAATGTATGTGACAGCTGAAATTAAATGAAATGAAAGTGCATTATTATGCATAATGAAAATAACAAGGAATCAAACCAAACTACTGTGTGTGCCCTTATTTTAAAACCAAAGTTTGTTTTGGTTGTATTGGAAATATGTTAAATTAAGCATGAAACAGTGAGTTAGCTTTGCATAGGTTCTGGGACCTAAG